ACATTTTGCACTATTCCTCATTATTCTCGAATCCTGATTTTTAAAACTTTTTATTTTTATGTTTTCATGAACACTAACAAATTCAGATAATTGTTTTTCTACTAATTGCACCATTTTCTCACCAATCACATCATTAGACTAAATTCACATCTTCCTTCCTTCCTTCCTTCCTTCCTTCCACTGCATGAAGACTTTTGATTTAATCAAGAACTTTTGATTAAAAGTATTCTCCATCACAAAGCAGGTCACTCAAATCTGTAGTCTTACTGGCATCAAGAAAAATACATATTTCAAAACATATATGGTTTTTCAATATGACATTTAAGAAAAAATTATTCTCTGATTTTAAGAACAAACCATATATACTGGAATGCTTTTTTTGGGAACAGCTAACATAATCATTGTAATATGGCTCAGATTGATAAGAAGGGGAAGGAGGTTCATGTCTGCTCAAGAATAGCTATGGCACTGTTTTTCCTTATGTTTTTTACATGCCTTGATCCCAACTTGTGGAAAGCAGTTCTGTTGGGCACAGTCACCTTGATCCATTCAGTCATTGCTATTCCTGCTGGGGCTGTCACAGTATACTGGCTAGCTTTGTGATCTCAGTCCACTTAAAAGAAGACTGAAATCATCTTCCTTCACAATGGTCAATCATTTGCTTGGGATCCCCAGTTTCATTCATCAGGATTACCCTGAAGACAGCCCAGGAGTAGCTTGTAGAGTGGGTTTGCTCCTGGCCCCTTGCACTCCAAGATCTCGTATTGTTTTGAACCACATTCACAGCCACTGTAAACTGGTGCCACTTCATTGACGTCAGTAGTTCAACACCAAGTTTATACCAACTGAAGATTTGGTGTAGTTCATTGCCAGACTGTGAATACCACACTCCTACTGGTCAGAAGTTATTCAAGCAACTAAACCCAGGTGTATGAATGAACTTGGTCAAGTAATTTGTTACTGGTGTGAGCAAAACACTTGTTATCTGGTCCTCACTTTGTTGTGAGATGTTTTTCTCCAGACCATTCCTTCTGTTTTTAGAACCTGTGAGGTGTTTTATACTTTCTCCTCTCATTTCAAGGCAGAATCAATTCTTTTAAAAATGAATTGTTGTTCTTGTTGATGTATTTCAAGGTATTTCTGGCAATGACAAATATATATATATAATTTCTTATACATACATACATATGTGTATATATATATATGTGTGTATGTGTGTATACATACATATATACACACACATGTGTGTGTGCATGTATATGTATATATGTATGTATACACGCACACGCACACACACATGTACACACAGTGCAACAAATGCTATCTGTTGTTAGCTTCTAAATTGAGCTTTCTTCAGGATAAGTTAATAGTGTTCATTATTTCAACCAAATCTTTTTTTTTTCTGCTTCTAGCTAAAATTGGACATACTGGCCTATAAGTTTAAAAAGTGACTGGTGAGTTTGCCTGTCTAATGCAAACACCATATAGGGGCCTGATATGCAGAGAGAAAATGCTCAGCACTTTCTGAAAATTGGCCCCACTTACAGTGTCTTAAATTAGGCACCAAGGAAAGCCAACCTTATGAAATCACTTGTCTCTTAAAAAAAGTTAGGCTGCTTTCTTGCAGTATTATTAAACTTTAAAGGTTTACATTCACAATCAAAAATGGTAATAAAAAAACATAGTCACACATTTCAGACCTACTTTAATGCAGTAAAGTGCTCTTTTGCTGTGTGCAGCATGATTGTATGGTGTTTATTCAAACCTTGTGTGTTCACATGAGTTTGATGTTAATCAGTTGTAATTGCATAATTACACATCAGTGCTGAGAAATCTTCTACTGGTCTAGAAAAAGTGCTTATGTATTGCTGGGCTCTGTAGTTTCAAGCCATCATTCCTGCGGTCCTTGGTCTTTAACAATCCCATCAGTTTGGCAAATGCCCAAAGCATATTTAGTCATGAACTCATTACTGATACAACAGGCAACACAGTGCATAAAACACCGTGCTGCCCACGGCATTCCAAAACAATATGTTCTGGAATGCTTATCTTAAATTCCATCTTGTTATTATTTTGGCACATTTGTGTTAGTGGACTTGTCAACAGATAATCAGAACCAACGAGCAATGTTTTAGTCAAATTATGTCATTGCACTCCAAATTTCGTCCTCCACATGTGAAAAGCATTCTATTCTGGGTGGGGGGGAAGGGGGAGGGGAACGGGGAGGGCGACACAAAAGCAGAAAGAATGTAGTCTAGTTTTTTTTCTTTTGAATAGTAATTTCCAGTTTTTGATAGGTAAAGGAGAGATTAATATTAGTCTTATTAGAAAAGGGTCATCACAGCCATGAGATGTCCATTCCATTCCTAATGCAACCAGTGACTCTCAGCATGACTGACAACGACTTTTTATTAATAGGTTCCCAGCTCTTCTGTAAAACTAGGCACAAGGTGGGTGTCCAAGATTTGTCCACAAAATTAAGAAATGCCACTGAAAATGTTGGCGTTGATGTCTCTGTGCTTTACTTTATCCACAGTGCAGTGGGGAAGATCATACTTGTCTGAATGCATACCTTTGCCTTCCTCTCTTTCTTTTTGTTATGGGATATTATTCTGGTCATGTGATATAAGGTGGGGTGGATTTAAGATGCTAGGGAGGAGGGGGAACCTATTTATTAATTAAGAGAATTCTAGAACATGGTACTTAGTATGAATTTTTTTTCCTGAATCATTTATGGTAGGTTTTGTTTTAGAAGTGAGGAGAATTTTAAAATATCCCGTAGAAGGTAGTTTGGTATAAAAGGCAGAATGGGTGAATAATAGATAACTGAACTCTCAGATGCAGCCAGAAGGATATTGTGCATTTCTTCTTATATAAAGACAAAGCAGAAAGGCAGAAGCCAAGCTGATTTCATTTACAATGGAGAGTATCAAACCTTGGCATTCTCTGAGATGTTCGTATTGTAACACTCCTTGGAGTATTATCCAAATGTTGAGATGTTTCAAGCAACTTTTTTTAAAATTTAGATCCAGATCAGTCTAGCATCTTTTTAAATAAAAATATTGCACTTTTGCATTTCAGCATTACCAAAATATTCCTGCTAAACACAGAGTTAAGCAGGCCTGCTTTCTCTTGCATATTGAATCTTCCAGTGTTACTAGGTTTCCCTTTCCCAGGATTTGTTTCAAGGAGTTACCAGTTTTGATGCACTGATATCTCTAATAGTCATTGCAGTTAGCATTGTAGTCACCCTGAGCTGGATATTCCCCTTTTTAATAGTCTGCTGTTTCCATAGAGATCTTTTTTAACGGTCTAATTGATTTCTTCTCAATGTGTAAAAAAAACCTTAAAAATCGAGAGTTCCCCAAAAGTGCGAGCTTGTTATACTGCATCTTTCTGGAGCATTTGCAGTTTCCAGCTGTTTCTAGAACTGTTGAACTCATGCCTTCTTTCTCTATATCTTTTTCTTAAATATCATGCTGTCCCTGAAAGCCCTTCTCTAATATAATTAGCAATAACAAATCTACAGCGATGACAGAGTCCTTAAATTGAGATACTGGGTTTGTTGTGACTCATTAGAAACTCTCTATCCCTCTGAATCAAGTTGCTTACTAAAAGGCTGACTGTGTTATGGGCAAAGAAAGGTGTGAGTAACCCATGCCACTCACCATCAGCGCTTTGAGAGCCCTCTGGAGATACCCACGTTGATGCTGAATACGTCTTGTTTTAGGGGGGTGTTAATTTAAATGTTGGATGATTCACTGCCTCCTGCTGTCTCCCTGTAGTGTGGGCACAGTGTTCGTACATTTGAATGCACTGCTTTCTAATCTGCTCCATCTAATGTCCATCCTCCTCCTCTTTCTTTCTTTTTTTGTTACTATGTAGTCTTAATCCTCCCAGTTACCTTGTAAAATAGTCCATTCATTCCACTGGTCTTTTATCAGGATCCAAGTATGTGTTCCACACTTCCTGAGTGGAATTATTCTACATCTAAAGAGCGGTCTTGTAGAAGCCACGCGAGTCATTTCCATGACTTGTGTCAGTCTTTCATCTGCTTTCAGAGAAAAATCCGATTGGTGGCCTATTTCAGTTCAGTAGGACCAGACAGCAGGTAATGCTGACTTTGACTAATACTGGCTTAATTTTAAAATTAAGACTTCTATCTAACCAGAATGAAGAGTATATTTTTCCAGGAACGCTGAAAATACTTTACATTTATGTATTTACTGGGAGGTCACAGAGCCATTCACTCCAAGAGAAAACATATTGCAAATGACTTTTAATGGTCTTTTTAATGTTTTTGAGCCTTAAAAATAAGGAAGTGTCATGGATTTCTCCTGAGGTGAAGACAGATTTGTGGAGGGGGGGGGGGTTCATTTTATCAAATTGCTTTCTTTATAA